TTGAAGTTAGAATTTTCTTAGCTGTAAATTGAATAAAGTGTGTTTTATTAAAATTAAGGGATAAGTAATTTGTTATGAACCATTTGTTTAAAATTTCAAAAGTATTTTGCATAACATTATTAAGATCGGTTATATTGGGCTGAACGAATAAGATACTCGTGTCGTCTGCAAAGAGTACAGGTAAAGAAGTTTTATTTATTACATTGGGTAAATCGTTTATATATATAAGAAAAAGCAAAGGTCCTAGTACACTCCCCTGTGGGACACCGTTTTTTATTGTCTTCCATTCAGAGACAAAGTTGTTACTGTCTTTGTGAACGAGTGTTCTAATATACCTATTCTCCAGGTAGGATTGATATAGTGTATAGTTTATGCCATTTATTCCGTAAAATTTCAATTTGGACAACAAAATCTTATGATTTACACAGTCAAAGGCCTTTTCTAGATCACAGAGGATCCCTCCCACATATAATTTATTATTCATAGCATTTAAAATTTCAGAGGTAACTTTATAGATCGCATCTTCTGTTTTCAAACCCTTTCTGAATCCATATTGACTGTTACTTAGTATATTATATTTAGTTAGATGATTTAAAATTCTTATGTGCATAATTGTTTCAAAAATCTTTGAAAATGAAGTTAGGAGAGATATAGGTCTATAGTTTGACATATCACTACAGTCCCCTTTCTTGTGTAGAGGAATTACTGTTGCATATTTTAATCTATCAGGGAAAACACCTTGAGATAGCATTTTATTACATATGTAGTTTATTGGTGAACTTATAAAAGGGGCACTGAGTTTCAGAATTTTTGTAGATATTTCATCATATCCAAATGAATTTTTTAATTTTAAAGATTTGATAATTTGCTCAATTTCTTTTACTGTCGAGACTTTATTTCCCATATTAGGGTATGTGTTATCAAACGCCTGCTTAATAAAATGTATATGATTTCCCCCATCATTATTAAATCTATTTAATTGAGAATTATCTGCATATTTTCTAAATATGCATCACTAAATATGATGGTGCGTACCATCAGTCCCGCCGAACAAGCAAGTTCGGCCACTTGCTTAGCGGTGTCTATAATGCTTCCCCCATCTATCAGAGGCCTTAGAGACTATTGTTGGGCGGGAAACAACCTGGAATTTGGCTCAGTGATCCCCTTTGGGGATATGAGGTTCTTTTACGTGCCATAAAGTTACGACATGGGACACACAGCTTAAGTCCCTCCCGGAGGACTTGTTCCCTGAATTTTTCTGCCCTTAAAAATTTGACGACCTCCGCCGAGTATTTGAACCCGCGTACTACGAGTCATGAGGAGGGAACGTTACCTCTAGACTACGGAGGCCGCTTTGTCTTCAGGTTACTGTTTAAATCTACTGCTCCCCAGTGAAACTTTAAACACAGGTTTCACTGTACAGTAATCATCACATAATACATTACTGCACCTCTGGGTACTGATGTATTTCGACAGAGCAGCTAGCGTGAATGAGGTTTTGTGGTTTTCCTCAGTTCCTCCACCAGGCAAATTCATTTTTCATTAATCATCCTATGCCCATCTACTGTACTAACCAGAGTGCACTGGGTCCTGAGTAGGCAACCACAAAAGAAGAGACCTGCATCTGTGTCTGACTGGCATATGAATACCAGTAATATCTTGAAACTAGCATCTAGTACCATTCTAGTCATCCTCATTCCCATACTAGGCACATGTGAAAACAGAATTTTTCAGTTAAGAGGGGAGAACATTTGGAAAAAATTTCAAGAACGGGAATTTTCGGGACTAGTGCAATCACAAATCTGTACTTAATTCTTTGAATCATGTTCTCCTACAGCAGGCATGTCCAACGCGTCGATCTCATAGACCTATAAGAAAATTATATGTGAAAAGCATGTAAATTCACTTGTAATATAATATGATTATGTTCAGATTTTGAAGGGAAAGTACATACTAAAGTAGTCTGTACTTTCAACGTATGTTGCTTTTACAACAAACATCATGAGTCGTGTTATTTTTATCAATATTTTTGCTTAAAGCAAGGTATGACAATAGGAGGGGGTGCTAGATCACTGCCAGTTTTGACACTAAATAGTTGATCACAACCTCTTTGAAGCTGGACATGCCTGTCCTACACTATCACCATAAAATGGGGTCTGTAGACATGGCATGACTTGACAATAAAATTAAACAGACAACAGTGTCAGATTAATTTATCATGATTATACTGAACGAATACATATTTGGTTCATGATACATCACCATGAAGTGGATTCAAATTAAATACCTGCAGAGTCAATGAACTGTAAGTTACTATTAAGATTAATTTCTATAAAATGGATTCGAAAATAAATAAAACAATAATCTGGCCCTGAACCTTCATACACCCCACCCAGTTCTGCAGATTGGCAGCGACCTGTCCACCTGGCTTCCTCAACATTGTGTTTTGGCAAGTTAACTCAGACACTATCTGCCTGAGGACCCCACTAATTTGGTTTACTTTGAACTGAGTTACTAATGACATTCAGTCACCTGGACAGGTGATCATATAGAGCCCCTGCACAGAGTGCCACTTCTCACGTCAAAACAACACCGCATGAACTGACCTGTACCAAGAACATTACAGTTGCTACAATGTTTTCAAACATTCAGATAACAGAGCTAGAGGTATCTTGTGTGACACATACCTTTAGCACAGAAGGCGCTGTTAGATGGTTTTTAGTTCAAAAGGTGTAGACACGTCATAGAACTTGCTCACTAGGAACAGCATCCCTCCAGTGGTCACTCCTGGACTGCCAACATAAGAGTAATAGTTACATACAGCTTCACCAACTGTTCATCTGAACAAACATTATGACTGGTCAAAATTTCTGATTTCTTTGAAGCACACTCCTAATCCATTATTCTCCTCTCACTTGATTTAGCACTAACCTCCAGGGCACGGACTCCTGGTAGGGCCTGTGCAACAGGCACTGCAAAAACTTGCTTGGTATCTCTCAGTCTGAAGTCGTACGAATCATGGGCATCTTGCATTGAGGGAAGACTGTTCCTGAGTCCGGGTATAGCACCAAGTCAAAACAGTAAACATCACTTACAAGGTGTTATCGGTATGTCTCTGGACTAGGTCAAAGAGGAAATGCTGGCTTAACTTACTACTTTTAGCTGCCATTTCCTTCAAAATAGTCTTATTAGAAATGTATAGTGATCCCATAATTTTTTCCACACTTCAAAAGCACCGTGGAAGTCATTTTCCTTAATGCTGTCAAGTACTGCTTGCAATTCCTTTGGATGTAAGACACTGTCTCAAAACATCATACCTTCAGTTTAATTTTCAGTGCGGAAACAAAGCGAAATCACAGGGGGCTAAGTCCAGGGACTATGGGGATGGGGAATGATATCCATGTTGCTGTTAGTCAAAACTCTGTGGTTTTCAGGGACATGTGGGCAGGCACATTGTTGCGATGAAGCAATGCAGCCCGTATTCAAATTTTCTGTTAAGATCTCCTGGCAAACTCCATAACTGATCCTAACAGTGTCTGCAAGCTCATGGAGTGTTTGGCGATGGTCTTCATGGGTGAGTTCTCAAATTTTTTCAACATTTTCTGTCATTTTGCTGGTGCCTGGTTGTCTTCAACTGTCACTCAACCAGCCTTGAAACATAAATGCCAATTAAAACTGCTGTCTGGCTTAAAAAATGTTCTCCAAAAGACTCATGAAGCACATTAAGGGTTTTGGTAGTGGATTTACTGAGCTTCATGCAAAACTCGATGCAGACATGTTGCTTGATTTTGCCATCTATCGCAGACAAAACGAGATATGAAGTTGAGAAATCATCTGTGTAAAAACAATGCATGTTCATAGCATGGTGTCACATGGCAGATTGATGCAATAAATATACTTGCAGACGTGTGACATGGCTTCCCTTCTCATCTTCTTTCAACAAGGCAATCACAACAATAATAGTCCACGAACTTTCTGATACACCTCATAAGTTCCTTCCAGACATGAATCATCTTTATTATTTTAACATAGTGCTACACCCAGACATCATACAAGGAACATGAACTTCTCAGAAGTCTCAAGTGACTTCCTCAGTTGAGTATGGTATCCTTTCTTACACGGGACAGTGATCATTCCAGACCTGTCAGCAAAAAGTAACAATGCTATGAATCCTCACATAATTACATTCCCTTTATTCATATTATGTATTTAACCTTTAATGTCCTTTAGTCAAAAGACTGGAATATCTGAAGAGTGTAACAAAGATGTGGAACTTGCCAGCAGAGAACCAAATGACTTTATTGCTTCCAACTGCTTTATGGCATCAGAGAATGCAAAAATATTTCAAGCATTATAAGCAGGAATGATTTTATGATGCAGTACTACTATGTGAAGAAGTGTGAAACTATTTTTACAGTATGCATCAAAATTACAAGAAAAAATTAAAAATAGTTAACTCTTTTACTACAAATTTTCAAATCTAATGTTATAATATGCGACGCTGTGTTCTTTGATGATGAAGTCAAGGTTAATTCCATTCATTTATCATAAAATTGTATTAGATACAGCATTTTCAAATACAGTGCAAGCACTCTAACAGGAACGGGCATTTAAATAAACTCCAGCCAGCTCAAGCTACCACCATTTCAAGCCCATGATATGTTGGTGCCCAGTGATTGCCTTCATTAGCACCCCTCACCCCCCAACAGAAAACTGCAATTTCCTCAGAAACAGCTCAAATGATTTAGATTAAATCTCAGTCATTTATGAAAACCATTTCCCTAAACAGGTGCAGCAGAGGTAGTATCTTGAGGAACATAACAGTGTGCCCTCTACTGGCCCAAACATGAATGTCAGTTTTCTGGAGAATGGATTATCATGGACTATAAATTTGTTTATATTCAAAGTAGATACCTTTTTCTGAATTGTTTATTTCTGGCAGGAGAACAATGTGATTGTCAAGCACACACAAGAATGTATCTCATCAAGGGGAGTACATGAGCTTACACCTATCCTTGGTTGGATGATAGCCTTTTCCACTGTTGACGAATAGATTGTTTGAGGCTCCAAGTGCATATTTCAGAACAGCCATCAGGTATCCAAGTATTCTTATCGGCTCCACACATGGCCCCACTATGAAACAGAAAGCAACCAAATGTAGTATTACAACAATTTCTGTGCCATCCCAGTGGACTCGTGTTCAGAAGGTCCTGCAACCTTTTCCACTAATATTGAAATAAAAACAAAAAGTTCAGAGAACAACTAACACATGGTCCACACAAAAAATGAAAAAAATGGAGGGGGATATGCAGATAGGAAGGCAATCTCATAAGCCAGCTTTTATTTTTTCAAAATAAGGAAAGTAGACAAGTAAGAAAAATTTGTCAGTATGATGATGACCAGCCACTTGAAGACAGTAGTACATGCTGCATCATACAACAATCTCTTTCAATTTATGCATAGGATCACGTGTTCATAACTTTTGGGTTCCCATCAACCGACTTCTGGACTGAGTTTAAAACCTCCCCAATTAAAGACAATAGCCCAGTCTCATCTGGGATTGGAAATCACTGGCTGTTCCAAACAGTAATCCCTGTGTGTTGTTCTCTCACTTCAAGGGGTAACTTCCTGTCACCAAACGGGAACAACTGTGAAGCCTTCCACAATTACACATTACAATCTGGCCAAAGAATGCTACAACTATATGCTGACATAATCAGACCTCTGGCACCCCAAACCAAGAAAGCCCCAGAAAGCAGTAAACTTCCGACCAGTGTTTGGTGGGTGTCAGGTTCAGATCTTGGTCAGCATACCTGCCATCCTGATTGATATTTTTCAGTTTTCCTCAGTCCCTATGGACTAATGCCATGAGAGCACCTCCAATCATGTTATGACCATTTCCTTACACATCCTTCTATATTCATTATTCATTAATCACCCAATGATTTAACCCTCAACCAACTTTTTAAACCATCCTCATCAAGAAACATTTAAATTGCTGTGTAGCACCCTGTTCACATGTTCAAAATGTCCCACATTTTGAAAACTATCCATCAGAATTAAATACATTTTTATGGAAAAAGCAACAACAGTATAAGCTTCACTGTAGTTACACTATTTTCTTTGTTTGGTCTCAAACACGTTTCTTAACTAAAGGCTGCCAACTGTGAGAAGAAATATTTCCTGCCTATATATAGTAATTCTTCGATAAAATGATGAATGACTGACAGCACCAAAGCCTGTGGAAAACATGGAAATTTATAGACTGAAGACGCTGCAGGCAGTGTATACAAAAACAGGGAACAGGCTTTCAAGTTAATGCTATGAAGACTTAGCTCCTGACTGTGTTGCTATATATATATACATATATATAGGGTGTTTCACGACTTTAGGGCATAACTGCAGGTGGTGATTTCCTAGGTCTTTGTGATCAAAAAAGTTCATAAATATGTGTCCGATTTTGGATGGTTACGGAGTTATGACCGTTTTAAACTCAGAATAGAAGGTAACGATTATGACAAACGGAACAAAATAATAAACCAGCATAACACATGATATATTTAACATATGAATGTAAAGTTAACTTCATGAAATTACCTTTAATTTGAATTGACTGGTGCTTAAAGCTGATTTTCGAAAATGTCACCGCTGGCCGCAACACAGGACACAGCTCGGTTTTGAGAACCGCGCCGGACATACTAACCCTTAGGTAGCTCTCAAAGTGTCGAGATAACGAGAACGCTCTGTCTGTAGCTGGCTAAAAATACCGATCTGCCAGCTGACAGACACAGTTCATATGAGGGTGTGTATGGGAATGAGAAAACGGTCATAACTCCGTAACTGTCCAATATCGGACACACGTTTATATGAACTTTTTTGATCACAAAGACCTAGGAAATCACCTCCTGCAGTTATTCCCTAAAGTTGTGAAACACCCTGTATATATATATATATATCTAGCCCCACCCATCTCTGCAGACATGACGCTACTGCTGCCTGAATGCAAGCTTCTGTCCTCAGCAATCTCCTCCAACATTGTGGTTTCAACTCCAGTAACTCTTACACTGACATCAAGGTCCTCCTTGTTTCCATTTCTATAACATTAAATTATCCTTCTCTTCTCCTTGCCTGTTATGTTAGAATAATGACAGGTTATCACCTCAAGCAATACATGAGAACTAACCTGTACCAAAAGCGGCCTCCGTAGTCTAGAGGTAACATTCCCACCTCATGACTCGTGGTACGCGGGTTCAAATACCCGGCGGAGGTCATCGAATTTTTAAGGGCGGAAAAATTCAGGGAACAAGTCCTCTGGGAGGGACTTAAGCTGTGTGTCCCATGTCGTAACTTTATGGCACGTAAAAGAACCTCATATCCCCAAAGGGGATCACTGAGCCAAATTCCAGGACGTTTCCCACCCAACAATAGTCTCTAAGGCCTCTGATAGATGGGGGAAGCATTATAGACACCGCTAAGCAAGTGGCCGAACTCGCTTGCTCGGCGGGACTGATGGTATGCACCATTTATCGGTAGGGTAAAGAGACTGGTAGAATATCATAGAGGGAAGCACAATAGATCAAACTGGTCGCGGTGCATGGGGAAACCCATCCTCTCTAAATAACTATCTAACTTGTACGAAGAACATTCAAATTTTCCAGAATTTTCCACCCAAAAATTGATGAGAGAGGTATCTCGTATGACATGGACCTTTAATACAAGGGCTTCCTGCATGTGTGAGACAGCTGAGGAGTGGAATGGAAAGGAAGATGCTGTGTGGACCTTGTGCACTCAGAAACTCAGCATCCTTCATTGCTGGGAACAGCTTCCCTTCACTGATGCCACTCCAGGACTGCCAACATAAAGCACACAGATAAAGCTTTACAAATTCTAAATCTGAGTGCACTATATATTCTAATTGGATAAAATACTGTGATTTCCCTAAGTGCTTTAACCCACGAGTTTGCTAAATCAAGATGAGTCTGGCACTACAAGCGGCACTAACCTTTAGTGCACAGGCTCCCTGCAGTTCCTGTGCAATAACAGGGTGTGCAGAAACTTGCTGGACAGGCTCCTCCTGGATGTCATGCAGTGGGGAAGAATGTTCTGGGTCTAGGTATAGCACCACATTAAAATGGTAATGATTGCTGATATTTCGGTTGCTATGTTGGTAAAAAGTGGTAGGAAGGTCCAAAATGTCAGTACTCATTATCATAACAACACAATGCCATACCGAAACACCCTACAAGGGATATGAACTGCTGCTCCCTTAGTATCGCTGTGGGACAGCAGTCTCTTCACCCAGGCTCTCCACAGCTGTCAACAAATGGGAACAATCATATGAATCCTTACACAATTGCATATTACAATCAATTTGATCCGGTCCTGCTGAGCTCACAGAAGACTGGTGCTGACCTGTGCCTTGTGCCCTGAGAAGTTTCATGCCCCTGCCTAGTTCCACTGATACACTTTGCACCCTATGGTAAGCTCAACTCTACAGCACTTGGTGTAACCGTCCATTCTGACTGGAGGAGTGTTGTGTGAAAATTAAATTTTGTATTAAGTTAAGATTAACAATATTACAGACAAAGAGATCCGGCAGATACGCGGAAGGGACATAGTCCAAGTTTTGCTATGTGAACAGGAAGTAACATCTGGTACTTTCCTGGAATTCTGGCAGTTTCAGCAACGTCGGAAAGGCTTTGAGAAAATGAGAGCTGACAGCTTGGGACAGCGATAACTTAGAAGTGGGACGGCCGGAGCCTCACACCCTGACCGTAATGCATCAAGGGGCTGTCATCCTTAGCGTCAGGTCAGCATCTGCCAGAATCACATAGCAGAGCCACATGATTGGGAATTCAAAATTTAGGGAACCTCCTAGTTTNAAATTTAGTTGTATTCAGAAAGCCGGAAGGTATTAAAGGACTACCAAGTGCAACCGTCGAAAGGTGGGTGATTGTAGTGAAGTGTTCTTCCTGCCCTGTCCGAGCCAGACCCTTATAAGACCCTGGGATAGGAACCCAGCTCTACTGATTAAAGTAAAGAACCCAAAGAAGTGAGCGGTGGTGGAGTGGCGCAATTGGCAAATAATGAATTGGAAAGGATGTGGTTTGGCCTAATTTGAGGAACTATTCTCTGACTGTGCAAAACTATGAAACACCTCCATCAGGATATCAGATCTCTGGGCTGGGATTGTGTCTGAGCCCTCTAGAATACACAGCTACCAACTCAAAGAAGATGTTCACTCTCTCAACAGTAGAGATCATTTTTGTGTTACTTACCTTCCACATAGGATGTCTTCATAGAAAGTACGGAAAAAAGTGGGGCATCTCCTACATCTTCCTGGCTCACTCTGACATCACTGTCTTCCCAGATCAGATGAGATAAAAATCTCTTCAAAGTAGCCTCTCCTCAACTGTCAAGCAAATAGTAACAATTATATAATGCTTACAAAATAATTAATTATAATCTATCTACAGGCTATTATCTTTTCTAGATATTTTGAACACTGCAGACCTAGCTTCTTCAATAAACTAATTCAGTTCGCTTTGGTTGGTTGGTTAAATTGCTGCTGGTTTTGCCAGCACAATCATTCCTGGCTTCAGTCTCCTTGAGATCCATGACAAAGATTTCTGTTATCTCCTAGCCATAGGTCATAGGGCCTCCTGTTCGATGAAGGAGGGGTTGGTGTTTCTATGTAGGGGCTGCATTTGCTGCACTGTAATTTCAGCACCAGTATATCTGCACTGTCACGAGGTCTAGGTCACTATGGACTCTGTGCATCCTTTGTTATTGCACTATGCTAAGCGAAATTTCTACAAGGTATACAGTGGTTTTCTGTCAATGTAGGCTTGTGCAGCAAGTTATGCCTTGATTTATGCAACTACTCTGAAATTGCAGTTAGTCAGATGAATGGTCATAGGCCAGACCAGCACCAAGTTTAAGCCTCTCACACTTCCTACACCTGGCTTCTCTTTCTCCAATACCATGTACATTTGGACTGACATGGTTTAGGATTATTTCTGCCTGTGTCCTGTGTAATATAGTAATACAGTCATATACGTGGTGTGTTCAAAAAGTATCGAACCTTCTTTTTTCCTGCGTAAACCAATGAAGCGCGGGAGGCTCCCTTCGGTGGAGATGTGGAGGGGACCTTCATGCGCAGTCGTGAATTTTTTCCTGCCTGCAGAAAGCGTCAGTCGCTGGCAGTCGGCCTATGAATGAGGACGTGTAGTGAGCGCTCGTCGGATTCCAGTAAGGTGTAAAATGACAGAACAACACGAGCAGCGATATAGCATCAAATTTTGCCAAAAGCTTGGCGATGCCCAATTTGAAACAATTCGCAAGATTCAACAGGCTTTCGGGGACGATGCCATGAGCAACTCACGGATAAAGGAGTGGTACAACCGCTTCAAAGATGTCTGCACATCAGTGGACAGCGAAGCGCGTTCAGGCAGACCCTCAACAAGATGAAATGAGAATGTCATTGAGCAAGTGCCGACTTTGGTCATGGAGGACCGTCGTATCACAATCTGAGAACTTGCGAACGAGATAGCGGTAAGCATTGGATTGGTACATTCAATTTTGACCGAGGATTTGGGCATGAGGAGAGTGTCTGCGAAATTCATACTGAAACTGCTAACAATGGAGCAGAAGCAACGCCATCTGGAAATCGCACAGGACATGCTGGACAATGCAAACAGTAGCCCCAACTTTCTGAACACCGTGATCAAAGGCGATGAGTCGTGGGTTTATGGGTATGACCCGGAAACCAAGATGCAGTCATCACAGTGGAAACATCCGACATCCCCGAGGCCAAAAGAGCACGGCAGGTCCACAGCAATGTCAAGGTCATGTTGGCCGTTTTCTTCAACACCCGTGGGGTTGTGCATCATGAGTACGCACCACAAGGCCAAACCATCACAAAGGAATACTACCAGGAGGTCCATCGTCACCTTTGTGATGCTGTGCGACGCAAACGACCAGATATGTTGGCAGCAAAAACTTGGCAGCTCCGTCATGATAACGCACCCGCCCATTCTGCGCATCTGATTCAGACTTTCATTGCCAAACACAACATCCCTGTGGTTTGTCAGGCTCCCTACTCCCCCGACATGGCTCCGTGTGACTCTTGGCTATTTCCCAAGCTGAAAATGCTGCTGAAAGGAACCCGATTTGAGTCAAGAGAAGACATCACACGGAATGGGACGGCCCGGCTGATCACCATTCCAAAAGATGCGTTCCAGAAGTGTTTGCAACAATGGCGAAGTGCTGGGAGAAGTGTGTACATTACCAAGGAGACTACTTTGAAGGGGATTAGGGTTTTGTACCTCCAAATCAATAAATGTATTTCTGCTGACCAAAGGTTCGATACTTCTTGAACACACCACGTATATAAAGAATTTTGAAAGCTACATGCAATTTGTGAACTGGTGTGCACTGGTCAAGATTTTCAACAGCACTGCATACTGTCAGGTGGGACAGGCATCTCATAACTGACCTACTCAGAGCTCTGTAAATTCGAACTTTAATATCTGTACCTAAACGCCCACTTTTGAATATAGATCCTTACATACATGTGCACGACCTTGGCTACAGTCTTTTCAATATGGTGTCTCCATGTCATCCTCCTGTCAAGTGATACCAAGACATATTACCATTTAGCTGTAGCACATAGTCAGGGACTCTTTTAAGTCTTTTGATAAACAGTTCGAGTTTTCCCCAGCACTCACACCATGAATTCACTGCAGTGACTCCATGATGCTGTTTACACAGAACATGATGTTTGTGTTTGTCGTGTAAGTACAGGTAACGCGCACAAACAGCTAAAGATGAGTTCCAGGTGCATCATTTATACACATTAAAAAAAAGTAAAAAAAAACTAACTCTGTTATCAGGCCATTGAGACCCACAGGGTTGTGAGACATTGAGGTTCCCACATTTTACAGACAACTGGCTTACAGATGGTGGTGAAGTTGTCAGCCTTATGTGCTGGACAACCTTTAACCTGCGGAAGATTCTTAGTACTCATTTCTGTTACAGAGTGAGTCAACCCCAGGGCCATAATGCAGCTGGAAGGATTAGATCAACTAACAAATTCAATTAACTGATCTGGAATGAAACTCACGACCTTCTAGCCTGTAACACAGTGCCTCAACCAACTATACTACCATTGTACAAAACTGGGGCAAGGACGGAACCTTGAGGAACTTTTGCCGTTATTTTTCTTGGCACAGAAAATTCACCTTCTATGAAGATTAATTTTCTGTCGGTGAGAGAAAAAAAAAAGGATGAAGGGAAAAAAGAAATTAACTTGATGAGACTTGTCGAAAATTCTAATTCTGGAAATTGATATAGCAGGCCAGGGTGCCACGTTGTGTTGAAGGCTCATCGGGCATAAATTTGGAGGAAATTTTGGGTCTTTGTCGGGTTTCGGCAGAGTTATGATATTTGTCTCTTTCCACGGCGCTGTGAAGTGCCGAAGGCAGTAATTAAACAAATGTGTTATATGCACAAAAGTTCTTTTTCAAGATGCCGGGTCATTCGTTTGGAATGCCATCAGGACGACGGGCCTTTCCTAACGAAGTGCAGATTGGAATAGGTCATATTGCTTGAGGTGTGACTTCGCAGTTTGCCAACTCTGTTTCCCATCTTCCGAGGAGGGTAGGATTCGTTACCTAATCCTGTAACAAGCGGAAAGAAACGGACCGCAAACACGAAATACTCTGCAGCCGGCTCCAAACCACGATATGAACATTACAGGTTCCTAAGTAACAAAATAACTGTTCACTTACTTGCAAAATCTTATTTCGACATGTTTTTAAAACGCAATACTAACATTATATATGCCATATATTTATGAAGTTCAGTTTAATTAAATTACAACCTTCCAATTCACTTCCTTCACCCATAATTTCTCAAAATGGCTACCGCCACGGAATAAGTAACTAGTGGTACCACTCTTTGCTGTCATACATTTGGACCGAGTGTGTCCGTACCCTCTCCGCGCTCTGAACTCCGTGGCAACTGTACTCTGTCTCGGGTCCCGTAGAGCCGAAGACCGCGAAACGCGAATGACTATGGAAGCAATGCTAGGGTGGGCGATAGAATGATTGATGTGATTGCTTTTATTGGCTTACATGCCCGTGAAATATCCTTCGCGCGGAACAGAAGGTTTATCTGCAAGGGTAGTACGTTGGGATACGGCCGACATTTCGGAATTGGTGTTTTGTGCTGTACACTTATCACCTGCTTCCTAATGTCTGTATGTTCACGTTGGTTCTACCACATAATTTTTAATTTAATTAAATGTTGTACGTAAAGAATGATATACAGTTATCATAAATTAATATGGGATTTCTTATACTCGAACAAATAATCTCGTGTTCTGTGTTGTTAGTTTAAATATTTTTGTGTTGTGCATAAATTACTAAGTTTTAGGGGAGGGATCATGCTCGATGTCTAATGTTTTAGGAGACCTGCCCCGTCCTTGGCCATAGTGTCCACCTCCAATGAATCACGCTAATCGAATAATTATCACAGAAAAGTCTGGCCTAATATATAATGTTTGAATCGATTATTTTATTAACTATTGTATCATTTGATAGGGGTTGTAATATTCCTGTCAAGAAGAAAATTTGTACAGGTTAGTGAAGAAACAGGTCAGTAGAGGAGGCCCTTCTTTAAGGAAATATGGCCTTGGCTGGAGCTCAATTACGGGTCAAGTTGGGACCCATGATTGGGGATCAGTTGTCCCTATTGATGAATGAGAGTAGGTAGCTGTGGACGTCCCATCATTAGGAGTCCAAGACAAGATCATCACCTAACACTGGAGGACTGACCTGTTGATCCCTGCTGCTGCTAGGAAGCAGCTGTTATCCAGTAGGGGCTTTCATGGGGGGACCTGCAGGGGTAAGATTAAATGAAGTCTCATGATGGGTGGTGAATAGCCTCTCCAACAAGAAAATTAATGTAAAATTTGAGGTTTCCACAGTGGTGTCTATGAAGCAAGCCGTCTTCTGGGATGTGGCACGATATGTTCATCTGAAATGTCGGTTAACACAATCTCTACACGGCGCCACATCCCAGATGGCTTTCTTCAAGAAAATTAATGTATGGCCAGCAGAAGAGGCTGGTCAAGAAGAGGTGTCTTCTGGGGGAAAATGAAGGCTCAGTTGTGAGTCAACATGTGACCAGTGGTGGGTCCTCTGATGCCCATGTTGGTGAATGACAGAGGGCATCTTGGATAACCCATGGCCAGTAGTCCATGAGAAAATGATATTCTCAGTGCTCAGCTTGGTTAGGCATGAATTTATGACCTTTGACTCTGCAAGGCTAGAATTGATGAATATTAGGAGGTACTGAATGTGGGGGGTGGTCATTGTAGTTAAGATCAAAGCCATTAGTGAGTGCAACAACAGGGCACACAACAGACCCAAAAGAGTTGTGAGTACAGCAGTCAGCAGTCAATGCTTGAACTTCATGTTAATATCACATATACTGCTGATACAAGTCTTTTACATGATATAACCTTCCCTAGAGCCATCTTTAGGTGACAGTTTCATTGTAGCCACCCCTCAGAACTTCAGTTGGGTGGCACATGGGTGCTGACTGTCTCGAAAGCTATTGTTGGCATTCTTGCTACATCCCAGCCCACCAATCAAGGTTAGGGTAAGGAAGGAGAGTTAAAGGAATTATCTTTAGATATGCACCATTTTAAGAATCTCTTACAGAATTTATGTGTTAGATGCAATGCAGTTGCAGAAAACTGGGTTGTAGAATACACACCTCAGTCAAGCATGACTGGTCTGATGCAGCTGAATAGTAATATGTATTATATAACTGCCTGCAGTTTTCTTTGTTTCATTAATTTAGAACAAACATGTCTGCACAGTCTGAAAGCTTGATCCGATGGCCTTGCTTGCACTCATCCTGCACCTCGCACAGGGAGGTCAAAATTTCTTTATCTTCAGTCATGGAGAGATATGAAACGTTCCATGTTCTAATTGAAGCAGTTCAAGTAAGGCAACTACATCATAATTACTCCAACTTAGCTCACATAAAAACATTCCGTTGCCTGTAGTCCGCAAGTGAATTATACTGACCAAGTGACTGCCGCTTGTCAGCGTAGTTAGTGCCAACTTTTGCAGATAGAGGGTGTCATGTGGTCAGTGCAACGGATCCCCACGGCCGTTAATCTCAGTTTTCTAGACCAGAACCTTAGCTCCCCTACCCTGGAAAAATTAGGTGGTTCACATGTGTTTTGTGTATAACTTTGGGGTGGAGTAGCTTTGTTGAGTTCCAGAGAAGTCAAATGACTGATCATTAACATCAAGATGCCAGACTTCTACATGATTTTCAAATCCTGAGAATTCTACCAAATCGCTGAATTACAAGACAATGGACGACGATGCTACAACGTTAGTATTAAAGTTTGCTTGAAATCAGAATGTAATGATCAGGGCCCGGTTTTGATGACATGTCATCTTTTTTTTCCTTGTATCCTATGCGTTGCTCTTAAATACCTAAATCTTGGATATGAGCTGCTGGTTACAGAAATGTATTATTATTATTATTATTATTACTGGAGGGGGTGGATTTCCCATGCACCCTGACTAATAGTCTATTGTACGTCCCCCTTTGATATTCTACCAGTCGCCATACCCTACCTGCTATCAGCCCCGTTCAGCCAACGAGGTCGGCCCTTGGTACCCGATACTTCCCCCATCTACCGGAGGCATTGGAAACTACTTGGGCAGGAAACTTTTTGCCTAATTTTGCTCAGAGGTCTCCTAGATACATGAGGATCTTTTACATGCCGTAAATCTACGACACGGGACCCACGGCTTAAAGTCCCTCCCGGAGGACTTGTTCCCTGAATTTTCCGCCCTTAAAAATTCCACCCGCGTACCTTGAGTCATGAGGTGGGAACGTTACCCCTAGACTATGGAGGCTGCTTACAGAAATGTAAATTTTATAGGTATTTTTTTGTCATTTTTCGACATTTTTAGATTTAAGGTCATTTTTTTCATTTTGGGGGTAATTTTTTTTACTTTTAAGGGCATTTCTTGTCATTTTTGGGAATTTTTCTTCATATGTTTTCTGAAATGTGAATAATATGGAAGGGAAATGCTCTTTCTCTTTCTCCTTTACGACATTTTTCTGGATTTTTTCAATATTTTCAGGTCATCAAAATTGGGGCCCTGCATATTATATTTTTGGGTCATATTTTAGGTCACTTTTCTGGATTTTTTCGGTCATTTTTTAAATATTTTCAGGTCATCGAAATCCGGGACCTGGTAATGATCATATATCAAATCCCAATAAATAAACATAAATATATTCTAAAAAATGTAATAAAATCAACTAAATATTGGATTGGTGAACAGCAGGGGTAGTGATGAGTTGTACACGTAAATTGGCAGTTATGGTATATATCTAGTTACACTGTTTCTTTAAACCAGTCAGTTGGAATTTTGTTTCTTTTTGTTTTTCTTTTCTTTGACCTCTAAGTCTGTATAATCAATTTTCAATTTTGTTGTGCATTATAATAATACTGTTTTTGTTATCAGGATGACACTTGTACTTCCTGGCTGCTTTCAGTCCTTGCAGTTCATCCAAGAACGTTGCTTTATGTTCTGCAAGTTCCTCTTCCTCTTCTGGTTCTTCTTCTGGCTTAGTCAAATGCTGATGTAATGCCTGGTTGACACTTTGGACTCCAAGAGGCTGTAAACTGTGTCAGTCATACTCTTCATGTTCACTGAGTTTTACGGCACTGTCATCATTACTCTAACATAACGTTTGAGAAACCACATTTCACGAAGAAGTTCTTGATTGTACTGGGTGTTATCAGTCTCCAGGCTTCTGCGATGAAGTGCGCTACAGATAGCACATCCTCTTCCATCTGTGTAGCATCTTGGAGCAGTCCCCCTTGTATCATGGCTGCAGTCTTGTGAATCACCTGCTTTCTGTAATGGCACTTGGATGCATGCATGATTCTCAGATATACAGATTGTAGCTGGATGATACAAATACAGTTTTCATGTTGCTGAGAAATGTGGGATTCTGTAAATGGGCAGAACACTGATCAGTGAAAAATGAGATTTTGCAATTTCTAGCACCCAGTTCTCTATCTAGTAGTGTGAAGTGATCTTCAAATGTGGGTGGTCATCCGAGTCTCTTGACATTCTGGAAGCAACGTGGACTTTTACATTTTCCAATTATAAGAGGTGACAGTTCATCACCACCATCAGAATTGCATGCAAGGAGCACAGTAACACGCTGTTGAGATTTTATTCCATGATGGCAAAAATCTCAAAAAGTGAAGGTTTTGCTAGGTTGTAGATAGCTAGGACTAGAAAAATAAGGTGGAAATTCATGGAAAACATGAAGTTATAGAAACAAAACCTGTTAAAAGTTTAATATTACTATTATGAGCATTTAGCCAGGTGAAGGTACAGGTAAACGTAAAGCTGTCCCTGTGCTTAACTAATTAAGCGCTATGCCATGAAGGCATATGGGGGAGTGGATGTATAGATCCACATTTTCTTCATCTCAGCACTAGCTGGAGCTGAGTGGTCAGCTTCATGCCCCTGCCGCTTTACCCCCCATACCAATTGGATAGGTTTGGTGGACCCCAGAGCCTACTGGGACTCAAACTCCGATCTCTCAGTCATCCAACCTGTAGCCAGTCACTATACCAACTGATATCCCAGCTCCTGCATTTAGCCAGGACCATATAAAAAGAGCATAAACACATGAAATAGTAAAATTGAAAGTTCACCAAACATTGAATGGTAGATGACTGATGAACTGGAGAGGATTTAGAAGGAAGTGACCAAGGCCTAATTGAGATATTATCCAGCATTTGCCTGGAGGGATTAAAACATCAGTCAGGATAGGCCTTGCTTCAGCTAACATTTCAATTGTGCACCTTCTGAATATATGAGTCTGGAGCATTACAGTTACACCCGCCCTATACAACATCCCAAACACAACAACCAAATGGAAATGCGAAACTTGTGAACTGCAGAGGCAGAGTCAAGAACATAATAAAAGTAAAGTAAAGCTATCCCTGTAACAGGCTGTGGAGGCCCATAGGGTTGTGAGATGTCGAGGTTCCCACATTTTCTAGACAGTTGGCTCATAGATGGCGGCAAGGTTGTCAGCACTACGCGCCGGCCGCCCTTTACCCCCAAGAATATTCCTGGTACTCATTTCTGTTAGAGGCTGAGTTGGCCCCAGGGCCATAGTGCAGCTGGAAGGATTAGGTCAATTGAAAAAATCCAATGACCTCATTGGGACTTGAACCTGCGACCTTCTGGCCTGTAGCATAGTGCAACCAACTACGCTACTGCATCTAAGATCATAATATGGAAATTAAATAAAATAAATACACCCAGCTTTCTACTGAAAATCAGAGGACATATTATTATATTGTAGCATCCTGTTGCACATCACTTATTTATTCCCGTTAATTAGCCATCTCACACGCAACTTGCTTTTTATTACCCATCATCAGGGCATGTGGTAGTGTAGCTGGTTGAGGCACTATGCTACAAGCCAGACAGATGCGGGTTCAATTCCCAATGAGGTCACTGGATTTTTCTGTTGACCTAATCCTTCCAGCTGCACTATGGCCCTGGGGTTGACTCAGCTTCTAATAGAAAGGAGTGCCCGGAATTTTCCTGGGGGTAAAGGGCTGACTGTCTAGAAAATGTGGGAGCTTTGATGTCTCACAATCATATGGGCTTCCACAACCTGTTACAGAGATAGCTTTACTTTTCACTTACCCATTACCACAGGACACATGGCTGCATAGATGAGGGCATATCCCCAAAGAACTGAACTTAATAGATGGAAGCATAGTAATTTCATCAGCAATTTTAGAGACATCTGAAGATGACCAATGTTGGTTGAAACATGTAGTATGCATAACCAGTGATATGGTAGAGATTTTAATGTTTAAAACATTTAAGGTTTCAAAAAGCAAGTTGCATATGAATGGCTGACAGGAATAAATAAAGAAGCCATCTATTTTATGTTCACAAAAGTGATTTGTATAGAAATTTGCTTCAATTGAAAATAATTGAAATATTTATATTTAAAACAAAATAAATATACTAAGATTAAGGAACGATATCTGTTTCGCTAGGACTCCTGCAGGAGGTTCTGTAGCACCTGGTTGCATATTAATGGAATACTGGATCCTAGAATACAAATCCTGGCACATTTTCTCTAACTTCCTGGAAGCTGATATTCAAGTATTAACATTTTTATGTTAACTTGAAAGAGGGGTGGGTAATACCCAAACATAATTATCCCTGTGTAAGATTTGAGGTTTTCACGGCGGTGACTATGAAGAAAGCAGTCTTCTGGGATGTGGGACTGTGTAGATGTAGTGTTAACCGACGTTTCGGAGGAACGTATCGCCTCCATCTTCAGGGTAGAAAGAAAAATAAGAAAATCCACAAGCAAAGAGACAGTGAGAACAGGTGCAAGCAGACTAATGTTGGAAATAAACTCAGCTATATGAGAGCAGGGAAGGAAGGGGACAAGTCTACATGGAAATACCCTGACACAATATCCTATACCTGCTGTAACCTTGCTCCTGTCCCAGACCCTTCCCCTCTCCACTGATTTCCCATGTAGACTTGTCCCCTTCCTTCCCTGCTCTCATATAGCTGAGTTTATTTCCAACATTAGTCTGCTTGCACCTGTTCTCACTGTCTCTTCACTTGTGGATTTTCTTATTTTTCCTTCTACCCTGAAGATGGAGGCGATACGTTCCTCCGAAACGTCGGTTAACACCACATCTACACGGTGCCACATCCCAGAAGACTGCTTTCTTCATAATTATTCCTGTAAAACAAACACACACAAAAAATACATAGGGTAAGTTCAGGTGTCTCCATAATATACAGTTATACTGTGAGAATTTTCCTTTCTTCTGTCATCAGTATACATGCATCCAGAGACTGTTATATTTTGATGGATAGATGACAGAAGTTTTCATTACTATAAAACATGCACAGGCTTTGTTGTGACAAATACATGAAGCTTTACAGTCAATACTCAGCCACTGTGTTACTGGACTGCTGTTTGAACATGAGTAAAAACTTTGGTTACAGTTTGTTTTAATTTAGGCCTTGCTCTGTTTGTATAACCTTCATTTCTGGGCCAGTGAAAGCCAAGTTTCTCATACTTGTTAAAATGATGTGTACAGGGTTGTAGTTTTCAATACAAAATATTATTTAGGTTTGAATGCAGTCTTTGAAGGGTTTTGGTGCAGTTCCATGAGGTGGTGCGGAGTTCAGGCATATAAGGAAAAACAGATATTCAGAGTTCTCAAAGAAGCATTTTAATTGATTAAAAATAAAGGATGGTCGCAGGTGAATGATCAATTGGTTGAGACTAATGTGTTCATTGTTATGCATGTCAACAAACTTTTGATCAACGATGATGTGTTCACAGGGTGGATCCAGCACTTCATTCAGTACATATCTTCTCAATGGCATTAGTGAGGGTGTAGGTAACAGGTCATTTAATGATTATTTCTGTATCAAGACTATACAGCAATAGATGATGACATCCATCTTGTGACCTTTCCAGCTTAGTAGACTACTGCTTGCTGTCATGCAACCATGTCACAGATTTACAGAAACTGGCCTACTCTTCTTTTTTTAAAGGATGCACTTTCAGAAGGTGCAAACTGTTCCTTCTCTTGTCACTGAGATGATTAAATGACTATGAAGCTGGAACCATTTCAGGAGATGAAGAAAACTCCGAAGTCATCAATGGAGAGTGCTGCAGTTGCCTGTGCACAAAATGCACTGCAGCGTTACCAGAAATAGGCCTTCTGCAGAAATACTTTCTGCATGTGGGCATACAGAACAATCTGCACCAAGAACACCTGTTACAAAAAGGAATCATATGACGAAATAATGAAGCATGTGGTTCATGTAAAAATATATGTAAATCAAGTAAATTTTATTTCACATGTTTTGTATCTGTCAACAAAATTCATTTTAAGTACATAATTATGAATTCTATTTCATTTTGGAGCAGCTTCTACACTTTCACAGATTTATCTAAATATCATAAACTTTCCTGATTTTTGAACAAAAACACATTTCCACTTCTTAAAATAAAACATAACTGTATTATATGATCTAAATGGACAAGGTGTACAATTATTGCTCTTTTGTATGTGTATGATGGGGCAACCTGATCTTACCATATATATTTTGCATATGAAGCATGAAAGCCAGAAAAAAAAATTATTTTTTGAATGAGTACATATACTTCTCCTACGCTGAAAGCAGGAGTACAGAGAAGAGCATGGAATGCTTTTGCACCTCCTTCAACAGAAATTCAACAAAAATTTGTATTTCAAAATCGCACATTTTAGTTTTAGTAAATAAAGTTATCCATTATATTACACAACTTATTTCCTTCAACTATAAGTGAGTCCATGACAGACGTTATGAATGAAACAGCAGTGCAAATGAAACAAACCCTGCACAGCTCTTACTGAAACACAGTAATGACTGTGCACTGTGCACACTTGTGCCTCACAACTGCTGCTGTTAAGTTTGAAACAAGATGACTTGCACAAGCTGTGTCACTTCAAATCAAGTTTTTGGAATCTTCGTTCAGTAATTCTGCTACTTTGCGTTCTCCATGCCGAAGAATGTCCTCAATGGGTTTGCAGTGCATAGCTTTCATGCATGGTACCCTCACCAGACCACAATGGTAACCTGCGGCAAGCCATAGGAAGCTGCGGCAGTTTGGGTTCCAGCTTACCTGCGAGATACAGACATATATACACTGCATCACCTGATCACAAAGAGGTCATTAAAAGCACTGTCACCTATTAAAATGATTTAATACAACTTATGTTCAAAATATACTTTACTCCAATAAATAAGGAGTGGGTTACCCGAAGGACATGCACAGGAACACGCACAGATATCCATGTGAAGTACATTCAAATAAGAGTGAAAAGTATTGCGAGAAAGTACGTGACACTAACTGATATCAAATTTTATGAAAATCTGCTCTGCAATTCCTTGGTTGTTACATGCACACAGAAAGACAGACAGAGCAGAGCTAATAGATACATTTTTACAATTCTTCATTGTGAATGCACCAAAGATGGATGACACCATCATAAGTAATAATATCATTGCCATTACATTAAAAAAAAGCTATCCCTGTAACAGGCTGTGGAAGCCCATACGAATGTGAGACATCAAGGCTCCCACATTTTCTAGACAATCAACACACAGATGGTTGTGAGGTTGTCAGTCTTATGCACTGGCTGCCCTTTACCCCCATGAAGATGGCTGGTACTCATTTCTGTTAGAGGCTGTGTTGACCCCAGGGCCATAGTGTGGCTGGAAGGATTTTCTCAATTGAAAAATCCAATGATATCAGATACTGAACCCATGACCTTCCAGCTTGTAGCCTTGTGTCTCAACCAACTACGTTACTGCATGCCTCCCAATATCTTTGTCATTACTTTCTTTTTTTTTTTTAAATAAAAAATCTTGAACAGTAACCATGGAGTATGACTTTTGAAAGGACCGATGACATAAATACAGGCACTTTCTAACCATTTTTATGTAGTTTAGTGCACCAGCAAAGAAAGGGCAGCTGCTTGGAGACAACAATAAATATTCTGAGATACATAAAACTTTTAATGAAATGTTAGTAAGCAAAATAACCTCCCAGGAGCAGATGATTCAATTAGAAATAAACCTTATTAACATTCTAAGAAGCCTGCAGCAGAATTTTCAACACATAAGTATACCAAGAGTTCTATCCTTGTAAATATAAATTGCTGTTAACAATGCAGTCCCACTCAGCCAATTATAAATATGTAGTATCAGGGGCAACGGAATTTCTTTCAGGCCATTCAAGACCGATAGCAGCACAATTTAAACAACAGAACTGCTTGTGCTTACCCTGTTAATGGAACTGATGGGGTATGTGTCAACATCCACCGTTCTCATCTTCTCTGACTGTCGCATCCACAAACGAGCTTCCTCTGGCATGTGCTTCAGATTGTTCTGTAAAAGGATTAATAAACGAATGTTCTGTAATCTGATCTGTAAGTGAGACAGGTGGTCTTATCGTAGTCTCACTTGGTCATAAAATAATAATAACCGGAAGGAACAGGGTCTTTCTCAATGACCTGATATTCTGCTGGTAAAGGAATTCCCTGCTCTTATGAAAACCAAAGCTTCACTACTGAGTATACAAAAGTTAGTTCACATCTGAACAATTTACGTGTCTAAGATCCAACTTCCTAAACATGGCAGTTTAGTGTGCAGCAAGCCTGTTTCATATTCAGGAAATGTTAGATATAGATCTCAGCCCACATACACACTACCATGTCACAGGCTGTCTGAGGTCTTCCTCAGTCTCCCAGGCAAACACCAAGACAGTACCTAAAACTAGACCATGACTGCGTAAGATTTGAGATCTTCACAGCCGTGACTATGAAGAAAGCAGTCTTCTGGGATGTGGCACTATGTAGATATTGTGTTAACCAACGTTTCAGAGGAACATCTATTTGCACCTGCTCATGCTGGTTCTTCGCTTGTGAATTTTATTCTTTTTTCTTCTACCCTGAAGATGGAGGCGATACATTCCTTCAAAACATCGGTTAACACAATATCGTCAAGGTGCCACATCACAGAAGACTGCTTTCTTCACAGACCATGACTGTTTCTTTCAAATTCATTATTAACTGACAATTCTAGCCAAACATTGCCATCATGTGGGTAGCAGTCCTGACATTCAAGATGACTCCATTTTATACCCTGCCCTGAAGACCGCTTATCTTGACTGTGGCTTTCTTCAGTTCCTCCTGGCACACACTAGGACAGTATTTGAAATTAAGTCACAACCACTTCCTTCCTTTTCTTTTCCAATTCATTATTCACTAACCATTCCATCATTCTACAGTATATAATATCAGCTATTGAAAGTGTCATTATATCAAGGGGGCATAGACATGATTTATAATATTCTTCCATTTATATTTAGAATGGACCACCTCTGTGGTCTAATGGTCAGAGTTCCTGGCTACAGATCCAGAGGTCAACAGGAAAAGGCATCTGTTTGACGGACGTGTGTATATCAGCGATGTATGGTCATTTACAGCAGCGTTGGCCAACCTAATACGTCTCGAGGGCCAAATTTAGTTCATAGAACACCATCAGGGGCCAGATACAGTGCTTCTTTCAGAAGAGTGGTCGGGAAGTATTGCCCCCCAAACTGAAACAGTCACAACCCGTGTAAAAGAAGTGCATTTAAACCTATGTATTAAAATTTTACGTTGCACCAATAATATTAAGCCGATATTGAATATTTTACCAATCGATTTTATTGCCTTCTATCTCTTCTACCCCCAGAGCATTTTTTCTTAAAGAAACACTGGCCAGATCATGCCTTATGTTTAGTTTTATATATGCCGGGGAAAAATGCAATTATAATTTAAGAAAGAAAAATAAAATGCCTTGAAATTTGCAATTACTTACCATAAAACAGCACAAATTCCTCTTTCAGCAGGGATGAGCACAAAAGACTTTCAATCATAGTTGTTATGGTCTAATGATCAAACCTAAATCCTCATACACACACTGTTTTAATGAGAGCACTGTGGTTTCATAAAACTGGAAACCAATTATATAAAATCCACTTCTAGTCGTGAGGCTGCCACTCGAAGAATATGTGATAACACGACATCTGAAAGTCTGTTCCTGTTCGTAGACTGTACATGCTTCAGTGATGAAAACGCTGTTTCGCATATGTAAGTACTTGCAAAAACAGAGCAAAGTTTGAGAGCCCAATTTCGTAACAGTGGGTAACGTTCTGGTGAAAGCAGTTTCCAAAAGTCAATTCCAGTAACCTGAGATGTGTTTAAGGATGGGTCACATTGAAGTTCACAAAGCTCTAATTGCAGATGACCTGGCTGAGATTCTATATCACAATGTATAGGATTACTGAATAAAGAAATATCAGGTCGAAAGCTTTCAAAATCGTTAAATCGTCGGTCGAACTCTGAAGACAAATCTTCAATAATTTCAGTGTAGTCCCTAAACTCCAAGCCTTCTTCTTCTTCTGAGAGTTTCCGACAGCAAGGGAAATGTAGAAGGTTATTTTTGTCCAATGCAGACTTAAATAAATGTAGCTTTTTACGGAAACTGTCAACAAAGCCAACCATCTGACATATTGTCTGCTTCTTGCCTTGCAATTGCAGATTCAGGACATTCAAGTGTTGAGTGATATCGGTGAGAAAGGCCAAGTTTCTCAAGAATTCGACGTCTTCGAGATCATTCTGTAGTTCAGCAGAATTCGTAACCTCTTCTCTTAGGAATGTTGCTATTTCATGACGGAGTTCAAAGAACCGTACCAGACATTTCCCACGGCTTAACGATCTTACTTCAGTGTGCAGAAGCAAGTCCCCGTAAGCAGAATCCATTTCTTCCAAGAGGGTCAGAAATTTTCTGTGAGTGAGTGATCGATTTCCTCCTCTGATCAAATTAGTAATTTTGTGACAGTAGCCATGGTGGTAGACAGTTTAATTGATTTGGCACATAGAGTCTCCTGATGTATAATACAATGCAAGGTAGGTACAGTAATTTGATTCTGTCTTAAAAATCCAACAAAACCGCTTATTATCCCTGTCACTGATTTAGCGCCATCTATTACTACGGAGGACAATTTTTCAAAACCACCGAATTCCTCCACTGCACTCTTAACAGGGTTAAAAATATCGACACCTCTAGTTGTGCTGTGTAAAGAGCACACTTTTAACAACTCTTCGAAAATTGTAAA